CACACACACACACACACACACACACACACACACACACATTTGGTTGTTACAGGGTCTCACTACACAGCTTGGACTCATAGTGGTCCTCCTGTTTTCAGCCTCCCCAGCACTGGGATTACAGGCATAGACCACTACTTTGTGGCTGGTTCAGCCTGCCCTGGGTGTAGGGCTGGTGTAGTATGTGGTGCTGGACACTGAACCATGGTCCCTGTGCTTGCCTAAGCTTGCCTAAGCAGGTGCTTTAGACTGCTGAGCTATCTTGCTGGCCTTTTTTTTTTTCAGACAGAGTCTCACTATGTAGTTCAGGATCACTATGGCTTTAAACTCATAGTGATCCTCTTGCCTCAGCCTCCCAAGTGCTGCCCACAGTGTGTACCACCATGTGGGCAGAACCAGAGACTTTTACAGGTGGAATAAAAAATCCAAGGTGTTCTTTGGATCTGTGTTGTACCTTTACATCTGGATGGTACGATTCTTGACAGGACCACATCCTAGACCATCATGAGAAATTTTCTGAGCCAGTTTTCCAGGGCAAACTCCATATAATGAATCTGCCTTTAGACCAGATGTGCTGTGCACACAGGTTCCATGGTCCTGACCCAGGGTTTGACAAACAGCCACTGCACACTTACGGCACTTGACAATCCCTGTGGCCTTGGCTGGCAGCTGGACTTCCATGCTGTAGGAAAGGTTCCTGGACCCCAGGAATCCCTCTGGGAAGGATGGAAGGAGCCCCAGGCAGCAGAGGGCAAGTTTAGACAGAACTGAGAATAGCTATTGAGGACGGAGGGTGTGGTCAGGAGTTCTGCTCACACATGGATCCTCCCTCTCGTCCTGCAGAGCTTGTCATCCACAGTGACCCTTGAACACTCTTCACTCCCTCCTGGGGTCCACATCTCTTATGAATCCCAGTGTGGGGGTTCTGAGAAGGAGGGTAAGGTTGGGGACCGGGACCGGGGACAATGCAGCCATGTTGACATCAACCAGACGGTGAGAACCAGTTATGATCTGCAGGATGGAGGTGGGGACTGGGACACTGTGGAAGGTGGCAGATGGGGGCAGGAACAAGGCACGTGCAGAAGCTGGGTAGTGTTCCACTTGTCCTTTCTGAGGGTGTTTAATGCAGGGCTTCCTCAAGTATATCTGGAGGTCTTGTGTTAGCATGATTGTATATTGGAACATTTACTACCCAAGGTGCTACGCTACACCATCAGGGGCTTAGGCTCGTGTGCCTGCATCACTTAGTCTGGCTCCTGCCTGCCCTGCCCTCAGGTGAACTTTTGGGTTACTCTCCAAGCTACCCATTGCCTCCCAGAGCCCCATCTCCTGCGGTTCCGGGCTCTTGGCTTCTCAGAGGAGCTGATTGTGGAGCTACACACACTGTGTGACTGTAACTGCAGTGACGTCCAGCTCCAGGCTGCACACTGCAGCGATGGCCATGGGCAGCTTCAGTGCGGAATGTGTAGGTGAGGTCTCCCTGTTCCTGTACCCAACTGATTTCCATGATGGCCACCCTCCCCTGGGGCCCCCTAGACCTCCAGGACTCCTAATCACTGTACCCTAAAGTTTCCCTGATATGCCCAAGCCCTGCTCTGGAGCAGAACTCCTCCATTCTTCCCTGCCTCCACCCCTGATGCTCCGCTGGTCCTGGCAATGCAGCCACTTGTCTTTCTCCAGCACTTCCAAGAACCTGGGTTTTAGGGCCAGGGAGATGGCTCAGTAGAATATGTGCTTCCCTGGCAAGCACAAGGGCCTGAGTTCAATGCCTGGTTCCGCCAAAAAAACCACCGAAAACCTGGATTTAGCTAGGCATGGTGGCACATGCCTGCAATCCTAGCACTTGGGAGGCTGAGGCAGGATTTCTGTGAGTTTGATGCCAACCCAGGGGCAATAGTTCAAGGCCAGTCTGCACTACACAGGGAGACCCGGTTTCAAACCCCCCCCAAAACTAACAAAACAATACATCCGGATTTACAGGAATCCTGGGAGGCAGGTCAGGAACAGTTAAACATTGATGCAGGTCTCTCTTGTACCTTCTCTTTCCAGTTGTCTCCCTGGCCGCCTAGGTCGGCTCTGTGAGTGCTCTGAGGCTGACCTGTCCTCTGCAGACCTGGAGTCTGGGTGCCGGGCCCCCAATGGGACAGGGCCTCTGTGCAGTGGGAAGGGACGGTGCCAGTGTGGACGCTGCAGCTGCAGTGGTCAGAGCTCTGGGCATCTGTGTGAATGTGATGATGCTGGCTGCGAGCGACATGAGGGCATCCTCTGTGGAGGTACCTAGATCCTTTGGGAAAAGGGCAGGGTTAGAGGGGTCCTCTGAGGGCACTTAAAGACTCTGGGAATATCAGGCACTGGGGGCCTCAGAGACTCCAAGTTGGAGGATGTGCCTGACATATTTAAGAGGAATTTGGCACATGGCCCTGTGGTGGCATATGATGGCCAACTGTGTGGGAGCATGTTGTCACCCTGTGGATGGCTCTTTCCCAGGCTTTGGCCGCTGCCAGTGTGGAGTATGTCACTGTCAAGCCAATCGCACAGGCAGAGCATGTGAGTGCAGTGGGGACACGGACCACTGTGTTAGTCCTATGGGCGGACTCTGTAATGGACATGGACAATGCAAATGCAACCGCTGCCAGTGCCTGGATGGCTACTATGGTGCTCTGTGTGACCAATGTCCAGGCTGTAAGACGCCATGTGAAAGACATAGGTGAGGCTTCAGGTCTTTGTCTTGGGAGCAGACTGGTGTGGCTTGCTGAGCACTCTCCCCACCCTGCCGGCTCTCCCTCCAGCATGAGGTACTAGGGCCAGGGGGTTAACAACTGCTAGCTGGTAACCTATTGGCTCTGACTGGACAGGAACTGTGCAGAATGCGGAGCCTTTGGGACTGGCCCGCTGGCCACCAATTGCAGCATAGCTTGTGCCCATGCCAATGTGACTCTGGCCCCAGGACCCATCTTGGATGATGGCTGGTGCAAAGAGAAGACACAGGACAACCAGCTGTTCTTTTTCCTGGTAGAGGATGAGGCTGGAGGCCGGGTTGTGCTAAGAGTGAGACCCCAAGACAGTAAGTAAAAAATACAAGGGACATTCTTAACAGGGCCCCAGAAGAAGGCATTGGGTTGTGAGAAGTGAAAGCAGAGCTATGAATCCTGAGCAAAAACAGAGAGGGGCTACAGAGATAGCTTAGTGGTCTAAGTGCCTGCCTAGGCAAGCTCAAGGACCTGGGTTCAATCCCTGGTATCATGTGCTGGCCCCAAGACTGGACACGGTGGCGCATGCCTGTGATCCCAGCACTAGGGAGGTTGAAACAGAATCACTACAAGTCCAAGCTGTGCAGTGAGACCTTTACAAAATACAGAAAATTAAAAATAAATAAATAAATAAATAAATAAAAACAAGAGGTGAATGAGGCTAAGGCTCTGGGCTAACGATGGCAAATCTTTTAGAGCATCCAGTGAGGATGGCCTGCTGCAGAACATGTGCACAGGTTTGCTATCCTTGTGAGGACCCTACTGGTTTTCCTCTGCTTTGGTGACAAGGCTGGTAGCTGGACGTGGTGTAGATAAATGTCAACATGTCCTAATGTCTAGCCTGACAGTAGTTCAAGTTGTTTCTTCCCCACAGAGAGAGCAGACCACACCCAGGCCATTGTGCTGGGCTGCATAGGGGGCATCGTGGCAGTGGGACTGGTGCTGGTTTTGGCTTACCGGCTCTCAGTGGAAATCTATGACCGCAGAGAATATAGTCGTTTTGAGAAGGAGCGGTTGCAACTCAACTGGAAACAGGTGAGGCCCCTCCTGTCCCACTGGGCCAGGCTCTCCTAGCTTGGTCCCTTTCTTGCTGCTTCCCCACCCCACACTAAGTCAATTCTTCCTACCTGGGTACCTCCCTCTGCTAACTTCCTTCAGCTCTTAGGGTCCTGCAAATTTCTGGCTCTTAAGATCAAGGGCTTGAGGGATCCTGAAATTTGCCCTTATCCCTCACATCTTTTCCCACAGGACAGCAATCCCCTCTACAAAAGTGCTATCACAACTACCATCAACCCCCAGTTTCAAAGTGCAGAGTGTCCCAATCCCTGATGGGACATTTGCTCCAGGTCCTGCACTGAACAACAGGGAGATGGGAGGGCAGTGCCTAGCAGGTAGCAGCTTGACTGGAGACTCATGGCAGCTGCCATCCTACTTGGTTTTCAGTGACACCTGATGGGCAGCTTTCTGCTGCTTCAGCCCTGTTGTTCATCTCATACAGCATTATTTCCCCATCCAAATATGCAATAAAGTGTCTTACTCCACACTGCAGTGTCACTTTGCTACACCCTACCAATACTTCGGCCTGAGCTTTAGGAAAGGTCAGGTTCATTTTTCCTCTGGGCAGCTGAGGACAGGGAGCAGCCTGGGATTCACTTCTCCAGGCCTGGTGTGCTGGACTCTCAGGTAACACTACTCAGGTAAGCAGACTGTGTTGGCAGCACAGTCTTGGCTGGCATCTAACTCCATCTGTCCCGCTGTGTACACCTTTCCTCAGAACTGATGCCAACTTTGCTACTTGTTGCTCCTTGGTGGAGAAGGGGGAATTTTAATAGAGTGCTGGAAATGGAGCGATTGGTTGTATTAGGGAGCAGAAACAAAACCACTACAATCACAGTGAAAAAGCTTCACCGAAGGAGTCTTCCCAAAAAGGAGATGGAATGTAGAAAAGCCCCCTGCTTTTTATTTAAATATTCTAAATATATCACGAAGGAACATACACTGCACTTTAATGGTAAAAAGATACAAGTTTATAACATCTTATAAAAACTACTATTTAAAAGTGATCTTGTTCACTTAATACTCCCCTCCCCCATAGGAAAATAAGTATATTAAAAAAAAAGGTGGAGGGAGGAAAAGGGGGTATTGTTGAAGATGAAAGCCCCAGGGCTGAAGCAGAGGCATCTGGAAGAGGGTTAAAAGTTGTGGTGGGCTCCACTTATGTAACCCTTCCAATGCCATGCCATGGGGCACAATCAGTAGCTAAGTGATGACAAGAGAGGGGGATGGACGAAAAGATGGGGTGCTGGGAAGGGCAGAGCTGGTCAGGCCTGGTATAGGAACCCACCCAGAAGTGGGCACTATCTTTCCCAGGTCCCCCAACTGCACGTCCTGTTCTCAGAGGCTGCACTGGCTCCACTTCTCTGCACTTCAGTGCCCCAGAGGCATCTTTCCAGCTCAGGAAGTAGGCATGGAGCCCAGAAGGCTTTGCAGTGGTCCTGGCCTGCGGGTTCTCTGGGGTAGAAGTGGGGCTCCTGGACCTCTGTCACCCCTTTGCTTGTTTTCTCACACATCCACTGCCCCGTACACCAGCACCTCAACAACTGGACTAACCACCTGCTCCCAAGTTTCCCTACGCCCAGGCCTTACCAGGGCCAGTGCTGGTTTGGCCATTTGTACACATGCTCAGAAATTCCCACCTATCCATGCAGGCAGGAAGCTGATGTCCTTGAGGGCCAGGACACATTCTGACCTAGCACACACACTCATACACACAGGGCCACAGGTCATTCACGTTATCCTCTTCACACACTTACCATCCCAGAAAGATCAGCTCCAAGTGTCCGGGACAGGGCTCCTACTTTCAAAAGCATTTTTGGGAGAATAATTTTCTCAGAGTATCCTTCCTAGAGAACAGAACCCCAGCCCCAGCAAAGCTCTCTACTAGGAAGGGGGCTGGCTCACATGCAGAAATATGCCCCTGATTGCAGGGACCACATGGCGGATCCGAGGACCAGCGTGTAGGTTGAGGACATCAAAAAGGAGTGTCAGCATAAAGCTAGAACACATGGCAGCAAACATTCCTCAGCATTCTCAAAGGAACTCAAGAGGCCATCAGAGAAAAGCTAAAGGATGCCATGTCTCCTTTATTCTTCCCTAAAATGGTTCTACCTCACAAGAATGGAAGGTCTCTGCCCCAATCAATCCCTATAGTAGGCAGCAGCCAAGCGTTTGCTGCTGTTGCCTATTCCTTCCATTTTCCAGGCAATAAATCACACTTCCTGGAGGCTGCCATTTATGATCCCATCAACAGTTTGGGGCTCAGGTTCACCCAGTCTCCATGATTACTCTTATGACAGTCACCCCATTCTCACCTGTCAGGTGGTCAACCAAACTCTGGAACCTATCATAAGGATCCTTTCTTTAGCAGGAAAGAGGGTCTGTTATTTCACCTTCAAAAATTCACACACAGAAGTCCTCGTTTGGGTCAGAAATACCCTAAACACTAGCGTGTTGAACAGATCTGAAAAAACCCTTATTGAACAAAGCCCTTCTGTTCTCTAAATGTGTTCTCCAGCTCCTGCTGGCACCTCAAGCTCCTTTCAGGTGGGGTGGGAGGCAGCAGTTTTATGTTCATCTCCCTTTGGCCAAGGGTTTCGTTCAATAATACATCTCCTCCAAGCATACAGACATGAACACTCGTGTTTCATACACACACCTCATCAATTTTCTTGGGGTGGACATGGTGGTTTTGGAGCAGAAAGGAGCAAGTATGGTTAAGAATAAAACCTACATTAGGTTTTTCCCTGTGGTCCTTTCTCTAAGCAGCATTCCTCATGCCCCATTCTTTGTTGGGTGCAACAGCTACTAAGGAGGCCAAGATCTTGTTCTTTGAGACCAAAGGCCAGACCCCTATCTCCTCTACCTGAATATAGTGACAGGACTTGACAGGAAGAACTGCACCTACTGCTCAGCAGTTGTGTCAGGGGCTGCCAAATCCGTTTTCTAAACAGTTGTTAGCCAACTTAGTCCTGGGTTGTCTCTAAGAGGGCACAAGGAGAGAACTCCATTGAAAATGACTCCTTGCTCAACAACTTTGTCTGGCTTTAGGAGTCAATGACAGTGAGGTAGCCACAAACCATATCCAAGACCAATGGCCCAGAGAGAAGGAAAGGGCTTTGTGGATCCTTCACCCAAGTTTCCTTCAAAAGGCACTTGAGCTGAACTTTACAGGTACAAGTGTGGCACAGGCCATTACAACACGCATGGGCACAACTCCTGCTCTTCTGAGGTAAGAGGCACTGCCAAGTTTTCCTGGATCCAGCCCTTGTCTGCTACTTTTTCCTCGTCTCTACAGTGTATAAGAAGGCCAAAGTAAGTTTGGCTGCCATCCCTGATCCTATTCTCCCTCAAATAGGAGGCGAGATGCAGGTCTGTGGAACACTGAGGATCTACTGTAACTAAAAGCTCAATTTTTGGGGAGAGCAGCCATAGTCCCTACTTTGGACCAGGACTTTATACCTCCAGGTTACCTGCATCCACAGTTTACCTGCTGAAATTGCTTTTGGATAAACAAAAACAAAAGCAGAACAAATTCCCTTCCCCAGTCTTTTCCATTTCAGTTGCCAGGTGGAGTCCAAGGTTGTGGGAGCCATACTTCAGTCTTGGTCCTACACCATTAAGTCCCCATCTATGACCTCAGCCAAGGGTTCAGGGACTAGCTCCCTTACCCAGGAATGCTGTAGGAACTTCCCGAGATACTCATAGTCTCAGATTATTTACAGAGCACAGGCTCTGGAGTCACTGTCCCCTGAAGCATTCTTCTGGCCTCTTGGGTCCACTTTGCCAGGAGGGGACAAATCAGACGAGATGGTGGTGGGACCATCAGATCAGAGAGGGTGCACTCTTCAGTAGATTCTTCTGATCACTCCCACCACCCAGGGACCCTTGCACTTATAGAGAAAACTGCCCGTCGGAAGTCTTGGACTGGCACCCTTGGCACATCCGTTTGTGTCTGAGTAATCGATCTGTCCGAGAAAAACACTGTAGAGAAAGGGATGATTAAGTGCCTAAGAGAAATTTAACTGCCTGTTAATCAGATCATACCCTACAGAAGGCACATGTATGACATTCTATGTCCCTTCAGAATGTCATGACCATACAGTGGTTATGAATGCAGGTGTAGCAGCCAGGTGTGGGGGCGCATACCTGTAATCCCAGCTCTTGGGAGGCTAAGGCAGGAGGATTACTGAGTTTGAGGCTAACTTGGGTTATACAGTGAGTCCAAGGCCAGCCTAAATTCTAAGACCTTGTCTCAAAAAACCAAAACCAACAAAATAAATGCAGGTGCTAGAGCCTGCATACCTAGCTTTATCACTTAGCAGGGATCCCACGTAAGTTACAGGTCCTTATTCTGTATATTCACCTGTAACGTGAGGCTAGAAGTGTCTACTCACAACATAGCTGTTTTATTCAATGAACACTGCACTGGGGAGATAGCTCAGGGGCCAGGGAGATAGCTCAGGAGAATAAGCACCTGCTTGGCAAGCACAGGGTCCTGAGTTCAATCCCTGGTACCACACACACACACACACACAAAAATACTGAGTATCTCAAGCAGATATAGTTCTTAGAGAGACAGGATGGAGACTGAGACAAAGCTTCTCTCAAGGAAGTTTCACTCTAGTGTTGTGAAGATTTAGTGAAGCTTAAGACCAGAAGCTTTCTGAAGCAAAGCATTCAGAAAGTATGAGCCACTATCATTTCTTATCTCTTGTTCTTGTCTTATTTCAGTCCTGACAACATATTCCCATCAGATCAGACACTGATGCTCAGAGCAAAGATTCTACTTTTTCTTCTAAGCTGCAGGAGCTCTGATACTGGACTAAATCCCAACTCTGCCCTTGAGCAACTTAACTTTTCTGAATTTCAATTTTCCCATATCTCCCAATTGCCCCATATTTCCCCTTAACTTTTCTGAATTCTATTTTCCCCCATACAACTACCTTATGGAGCCAATATAAAGATTAATTAAAAAAAAATCTGTGTAAAGCATGCTCAAGTGTTTAAGAAATGCTATTATTATAATAGTCCTATGACCCTATTTTTTTTTTTTTTGGCAGAACCAGGGATTGAACTCAGGCTCTTGAGCTTGCCAGGAAAGCACTTATTCCACTGAACCATCTCCCCTGGCCCCCTATGACCCTATTTCTATGATCAGCTGCATATAGCCAGAGATGCACTTCACCCTGAGGTACCAAGTCTATTAGGCCAGGTGGCCCCCTTGTCAGATAGCAGTGGAGTGCTATGGTGAAGATGGACGATGTGTGAGCCTTACCTGATGACATCGTTCGCACTGGTAAGGCTTTTCACCACTGTGCACACGCTTGTGGCGTTCTAGGTGGTATTTCTGGATGAAGCGCATATCACAAATGTCACACTCAAATGGTTTCTCACCTGGCCCAGGTGGAGAAAGAAGTTATCAGGAGGTATATATGATAGGGATCATATCCCAGTTATCTTCCCAGATACCTATGCTGTCACGTATGTGGAAGCGTCCCCAAAATTGCTATCTCTGTGGCAAAGAGCCATGCACTCCACTTCCTTTGCTTATCCTTTTCCTCCACCTCTAATATTTCCCCTGGAAAATAAATCCAACTAGCCAGCTACATATCCACACAGAATACAAGCTATAGACTATCTGTCCCTTTGAATACAAGCAAGAGACTTACCAGTATGAATAAGGATGTGTCTCTTGAGGTGGTAACTGCTCCTAAAGGCTCCAAAGCAGTGCTCGCAAATAAAATTTTTTGGAATCTTTACTTGAAAAGAACCATTTTGTTCCACTACCACCACCTGGAGGCAATAATCAGGCATGTCATGTCATGTTGGTCTCTTCCTAGAGAGGATTCTACTCTGGGTTGACTTTTTGCTGCCAGATGAAGACTCACTCTGATGTGGTCTAAAAGGGCTACCACAGCCCATCTTCCTTAGAGTTAAGAGCACTTCTGGGGAAGGAGGTGGAGTAGGTAACCTGCCTTCGTCTTCACAGGCAACACTCTGGGAATGACCTCAGCTCATGCTGGCATACCCTTGCCATGGGGGCACTGTACAGACCATGCTCCTGACTGGTACCAAGCATGTTCTGGCAAGGACAGACATCAACTACCAAAGTCGACTCTGGCTGAAGTCAAGGGACATACTCTTTAGCTATGAGGAACCAAAGTGTTCAGAGAAAGCTCAGGGTGAGTCACAGCGGGAAGAAAGAGGAAGATTTCCCCAGCCCAAACTGTTCAGTTTGGGGAAGTACCCCATTACCTGCCTTTTTAACAGTCTTTTTTGAATGAGAGGCCTCTGCCAAGCTGTCGTCATCTTTGCGGCTCCGGGACTTATCACTGTCTTTTCGGTGTCCCTTTGAAGACAAATCAGATCTAAACTCAGTCTATTTCAGCACAAGAAACTAAATGCTGCATTCTGATACTTTATAAACAAAAGCAAAGTGTGAGTCCCAAAGATGGAGAGAAGACACTGATCAGCCTCCTCTCCTCGTGCCCTGGTCTTAAGAGCTGCACATGGAGAGATCTTCCTTAGCTCCCTGAAAGCCATTCACTCACTACCCAGCTGGATGCCCTTTCCCATTTCCTGAACAGAAGCACTGGGACTCAAGCTTGGCATCTCCTGGCAGAGAGCATCTCCCCGGGGCCCAGCTGCCATGAGGGACTCAAGTGCTGTACCTGGCTCGAGCACCTCAGCACATCAGGGCTACCCGCCCGCTCGCCATTCTCGGTCTGCTTGCTGGCGATCGGGCTGAGCATCATCTTCTTGCTGGCTGCAGTAGGGACCAAACTCACTCCCGCCAGGCCTTCACAAGCCAGCAGACTTGCCTGTGTCAAAAAATGAATACAGGTCAGAGACCTGGCGGGGTGGGGCAGAGTGAGACTAGTCTTACACCGGTACCCACACGTCCTGAGTTCGATTCCTGATACTTTTGAGACAGGGTCTTGCTATATAGTGCAGGATATCCTTGAGCTCACTATGTAGTCCAAGCTGGCTATAGTCATTCTCCTGCCTCAGCCTTGAACATTGGGATTATAGGCCTATGCCACCACACCTGACTACTTAAGGAATAATTAAGCAAATAATGTAAGCTCTTTTCAGTACCAGTGAAGAGTGTTCAGACCTTGTTTAGCCATCTCAAATACAACACAAAACAACAAAAAAACCCTAAACTCTCCTTATTAAAGAAAAAAAAAATTTTGGTACTGAGGATGTAACCTAGGGCCTCTGTACCAATTTACACCCCCAACCCTTTTAAATTTATTTTTTGAGACAGAGTCTTGTGATGTAGCTCAGGTCTTGAATTTGTGGCAATCCTCCTGCCTCAGCCCCCCAAGTATTGGGATTATAAGCATATGCTATGTGCCCATCTACCTTTTTAAAACACTTAAATTTTAGCCAGGCATAGTGTTTTACACATATAAATCTAATGATCAGGTGGCTGAGGCAAGAGGATTGCTGTAATTTTTTTTTTTTTTGCGGTACCAGGAATTGAACTCAGCACGGATTGCTACAAATTGGATGCCAGCCTTGGCTACACAGTGAGTTCAAGCCAGACTCTCTCTCTCTCTCTCTCTCTCTCTCTATATATATATATATATAATATATTTATTTATTTATTTATTTATTTATTTATTTATTTATTTATTGTGTGTGTGGCCAGCTCAGTCCACCAGGGGGCGGGGGCTGGCTGGCATGTGGTGCTGGGGGATTGAACCGCGGTCCCTGTGCTTTGCTTAGCTTAGCTTGTTCCAAGTAGGTGCTTTAGACCACTGAACCATTTCACCAGCCCCAAGCCAGACTATATATTAAGACCTTGTCTCATATGCTCCAGACGGACCTCAAACGCTCAACTATCCTCCTGCCTTAAGCCTCCTGAATACTGAGATTACAGGTGTGCATACCATATGCAGCTCAAATTATTTTATTTTTATTTTTTTTTTTTGTGGAACTGGGGATTGAACTCAGGCCCTTGTGCTTGCCAGGGAAGCGCTTATTCTACTGAGCCATCTCCCCGGCCCTTCAGCTCAAATTTAGACTCTGAGACAAGGTATTGCTAAGTTGCTCAGCCTGAACATGAATTTGAGGTCTTTCTCAGCCTCCTTACATAGTGTTGGGATTATAAAAATGTAATACCATGTCCAGCTAAAGAAAAAGTTGGTCAGGAAACCCCCAAATTTATAAAGAAATTCCTTTCATATAATCACTGTGTCTTGGGACCCCTTATCCCACTTTCAGGGACTTTGGAGAGGAAAGTTAGGAGTAGAAAACTCTTTTTTCCTTTTTTGGTCCCAGGAATCGAACTTTGGCCTCATTTTTGTTAGGCAAGTGCTGCACCACTGATCTACATTCATGGCCCAAGAGTTGAAAATCCTAATTCTGCTGTTTGCATCATGTAATCTTGGACAGGTTACCCCAACTTTTAAGCTTCAATTCTCTTTATTTCTTTGGTACCAGGGTTCCAACTCAGGACCTTGCGCTTGGCAGGCAGGCACTTATGCCCTGACCAAATGCCCAGCCTGAAGTTTCAGTTCTTTTAAATGCAAGATGCCTGTCATACTGTCCATCCTCACAGGGTTGATAAAAATTAAACTAAGATGTAAAGATGCCTAGTGAATGGCAGCCTTTTCATGACAAGCTCCAGTGGAGTGGGCTGAATATAGACAAAGGAAGAAGCCAAAGAGCTCCTATTCTGCCTGGAGGAGGAAGCTGTGCACGCAGAAGCACCTGGAAGAAAACCCATTACACTATAATCAGGCTGCCAACTTGGTGAGGTTGGTAGGGGTGTTCCTTGGAAGAAAGCTAGAAGCAGCTCTGAGGATGTGTACACCACAGCTTTTCTATCCAGAGGACTGTGACAGCCTGTGGAGCACCTTGGTTCACCAACTCAGTTCTCTCCACAATTCCATTGCAAACTGAACTGGACCAGAACAAAATCAAATTTCCCCAAAAAGTCAACAGTGAATTTGATGTGGTTTTCATTAAATTTGGTTTTCAACTAGAACTGCATGAACAATCAAGTCTGTGAACTGAGGCACCGTTATATTTAGTTATTCTGTTCTTCCAAACCATCCTCCACCTTCACGACAATACTTTTTTTCCTGGCGGCAGAGATTAAACCTAGGGTCTTATACTAGGCAAGCACTCTACCACTGGTCGATACCATTAACCCTTTTTATTTTGAGATGGGCTCTCATTATGTTGCCCAGGCTAGCATCACTTTTGATTCTCCTGCCTCAGTCTTATGAGAAGTGTGCATTCACTCACAATAACCTTCTTAACACACCAACGTGACATTTGGCTGCTTAAAAGTCTTTCGGGGCTCTATCTCCTACGAAGCCTCATTCTTCAATAAGGCATAAAAGACCTTCAGTTCACACTCAGCCTTATCTCACCAAGAAACAACTCTCCTACCCATCATCATCTGTCACCCCACAACCCCCATTTAAATAATTTGCTCTGTAACCATTGAGTGACCTGCAGTATCCTGAAGCTCTTCACAGCCTCCTGTATCTGTAAAGCCTCTGCTCAGTTTCCCTTGGGTGAATGGCCCTTTCTGCTTGTTTATGAAAATCCTACGCATCTTTCAAACTTGCAATTTTCTACTCTGCAGTGTACATAACTCTATTATCACACATTCCTTCAATCAATAAGTTCAGTCTCTACTTCGATCCTGTAACTATGCAAAGCTGTGAATATAAAAATAGACTATCTTTCTACCCCAACCCAACGAGCCTGGAAGTTCACTGGGAATTAAGACAATCTTATTCATGTTTGTATTCTTACCACAATGCCTTGCATGTAATAATCAATAAATTCTTATTAAAAAAAAAAAAAAACCCAGCAACAACAAACATTCACCCAACTATCCACCACTCCCTTATTCCCCTCAGCATTTAATGTATCAAACAGACAGAGTACATGTTGCTTTGCCAATGTCCCCCCAGTGCCTGGGATGCAGTATGGCCTACCTCCTTCATTTGACTGGAAGCTCCCTGAAGGCAGGGGCTGTGGCCTGTCTCCTTTCTTTCCTCTAGTTTTCCCCCTGGTGCTTAATACAGAGCTTGGCTCACTGGGGTTGGTCAATATTGTTGACTAAGGCAGCATTCAAGAGTGAATCTGCAAACAGGCTTCCCAGTGATCTTGAAGGAGGACTCTAGAGCTTTTTACCTGAGCCATGCTGAGTTTTCACTTAATGGAACCCAAAAGTTCAGGAGTTCCTTGATCCAGCTTTCCTTAAGACACTGTTGTTTGAAGAACTGTCACCAAATCACGGTAATGGCTCCTCGTCCTTTCAGTCCTGCTGCCATATTGACGTGCCTCTGTCTTTCAAAAGAATTTAGTGTCCTCCAAAGGGAAAACAGGTGTGCCAAGAATCCCTAGTTTCTGTCTTGCTTCTGCCTATTGTCTGAAGAAAGTAAAGTCTGTCAGCCTTGGTTTTCCAGTTAAATTCTCTTGATGAAGCGCTTGATCTGCTCCAGAAACCTGAAATCAGAAAGGATGGCAGGGCTCTTAAATGCAACATCCTCAGGCCACACACCGTGCAACACGCTGAATTTTTTTTGCTGGGCACTATGTGACGTCCAGAAAAGAGGACGAGTCAGGAAGAGCTTTCTAGGTCAGTAGAATAAACTGTTCTCTTGGGCAAGAAGGGGCAGCCAACAAGAGCAAAAGTAAGCGGGGCCTCCTATGAAAGAACTCCGCCAACGGGCTAGCTGCATGGATTTGCCATCTTAGGGCTGGAAGAAGGGGGCGGAGGCCCTTCGGGGATTTTGTGCCAAGTGGGCCGGCCCGCAAAGCTGGCACTCCGGAGAAACGAGCAGAACAGGGGTGGAAGAAGGCTCGGGGGCCATCGCTGGGTGCTGAGACGGTGGACAGACAGCAGACTAGCAGTGCCCCTCTGTGGCGTCCTCCAAATTCCCCAAAGGTACGAAAACCCGCAGCAGAGGTGAGGGTGGGCGGCCAGGGCCAGGAGCTGCGTAGCACGTCCCTCTCTCCTGCCAGCTAGGCAGCCGCAACACCGGCCACACCGACTGGGAAGAACCCGAGAACGCAAAACAGCGCGCCGAGGTGCGTGCTCGCGCCCGCGTCTCCTCACCGCGAACGCCCCGCTCCCGGGCCGGGGACGCGGCGGTACGCGCGAGCGGGCGGGCGGGCGAGAGGCGGTGCACGCGCGAGGCTCCCTCCCTCCGCCACGCACCCCTCCCCTCCCCCTTCCCGCGCGGCGCCCACGGCCTGCGAGCAGCTGAAACGCTGCCGTCCGCCCGGACGACGCTGCGCTCCCCGAGGCGCGCGCCTACCTGCTAGGCGCGGCCTCCCGCTTTCTCCCCTGCCGCGCGGCACCTCCTCCAGGCCTCAGCACACAGTGCCAACCCCGCGGCCGCCGCTACCCCGCCGGGACCGAGGCAAGTTTACAAACACCAACCCGGGGCCCGTTTCCCCGGAAGCACTTTCCCCTCCCCCTCGTCCTCTCTGCCAAGCGGCAACATCCACTTCCGGGCTTGGGAGCCTGGACAGGCGGGGGCAGGCTGAAAAGAGGTGAGGTTGGGGACACGCGGAGCGCAGCAGCTTGACGAGTGGGTGGGCCGGCGCGCGGGAGGATGGGAAGGGACGTGCTAAAGAGCCGGCGCGTGCGCAGTGGCGCGGGCGAACCCTGGACGCCATCTTGAATGAGGGCAAGAATCGGCCCGGGAGATCTCTAGGCGGTGGGGACTATTTCGGTGTAGGTTTAGTGCGTGAGGTAGTTGAAACTCCTGAGAAGCTGCATTGCTTTGCCTTTCATCGTTTCTAGGCCAGGTAGCCCAAGTATAAGCCAAAGTGGTTCGTACTCCGATCTTTTTACTTAAATGAGGGTTAAATGAGGGTTGTCATTCTCTAACCTTGTCGTTCAGAGTTGCTCTCTATAGCTGTGGGGGTCAGCTGGAGCGAAGTGAGCTTTTTTTTTTTTTTTTTTTTTTTTTGCAAAGCCCCGCCTGTTGCGTTCAACCACTATCGGAAAATGAGTGCTTTTTCAAAGGCAGTCTTTGAGTAGCCCCAGGCTGCCCAGCTCCTGCTTCGTAGAAATTAAGGCGATCTAGTTGTAGCTTCCTCCCTGCAGACCTGAGCTTTGTACACTTGGGGACATTGAAAAGAATTTTCTTGTGCTCTTAAGATTATCCTACAGTTGAGATAAAATGAAAAGAGAAAGAAAAGTCGCTAGAATTTTTTTTTTTTTTTTTTTTTGAGACATAGCGTTGCTATGGGAGTTCATATTGGTCTTGAACTCCCTGTTTAGTCCAGCTGGCCTCCAACTTGCAGCGATTCCCATGCCTCAGCCTCCAGAGTGCTAGAATTATAGGTGTGGGTCATCACATCTGGCTAGAAAATAGTTGGAAAAAACTTAATACTTTTACCAATTCATTATAAACATTAAAAAGTTAAAAAAGTTTCCCTTTGTTCTGTGTTCCTTATAATTAATCTTATCACCATAATGTACTCTATACCAGACTTCTGTTTATATAAAAATGTTTTTGCCCAGTGCATATTTATTGAGCATCTATGATGTGCTTAGTGTATTTTAGACATGTATGCCATTTTTCCCCACCCCCATCTTTGTGGTATTGGAGATGCCTCCACATGGCTAGTGCTCTAGCCCATCAGTCAGTTCACCTCCCTCCCCATGGAATGGTGAGAATCAAACCCAGGCTTTGCTGATACTAGGTGAGAGGTCTACCACTGTGCTGCACCCCCAAGCCTCTACATTTTAAAAATTATTTCGTAACAAAAGTTGAGCAAAGTGTTACATGATGCCAGTAGTCCCAGCTATACTCAGGATTGAGGCAGGTGGATAGCTTAAACTAATGAGCATGAACAATATGGTGAGACTTTCTCAAGAAAGAAAACATTGTAAAGTTGCACAGAGTTGTCCCAGGAGTGCACATCTGTAATCCCAACACTCAGAAGGCTGAGGCAGAAGGATGTCTGAGTTCTAGGCCAACTTGGTCTATAGGTGAGTTCAAGAAAAACATAATGAGATCTTGTTTTAGAAAAACAAAAACAGGGGCCAGGGAAATGGCTCAGTGGAATAAGCGCTGGCAAGTGCAAGGGCCTGAGTTCAATCCCTGGTTCTGCCAACTAGCAAAAACCAAAAAGAACTGCACACAATTCTTTTTTTTTTTTTACACAATTCTGATTTATGTTTGCTTATATAGTTCCATCTAATGAGCCTTTAGGTTAGTTTTTTTTTTTCTTTTGTAAATGATGCTATAATGAACATCCATATATAGGTTTTTGTTTTGTTTTGTTTTGTTTTTGCAGTACCTGGGACTGAACTCAAGACCTTGTGTTTGCCAGGCAAGTGCTTATTCTACTGAGCTATCTCCCTGGCCCTATATATATATAGTTGGTTTTTTGTTTTTTTTTAACATTCACAGATATTGCCTTTTAAATTTTAATAGAGGGGCCCGGGGAGATGGCTCAGTAGAATAAGCTCTTTCCTGGCAAGCACAAGGGCCTGAGTTCAATCCCCGGTTCTGCAAAAAATAAAAAAAAATAATAAATTTTAATAGAGTTCGAAGTTGTGATCTTCCTGCCTCTTCCTTCGGACAGCTGGGATTATGGGTATGCCCCACCATGCCTGGCTCTGCAAAGATCATTTTAAAAAGCACTGTGTAAAATAAATGGGAAAAATAAAGCTTATAGTTATCTTCAGCCATTTTAATGATGTCTATCCTTACACAGAAATTTAAAAGTTTTATGTTGTTAAGTCTGCCTGTGGCTTTTAGTTTTTTTATTAAAACATTTCCTTGGGCCAGGGAGATAGCTAGGTAGAATAAGTGCTTCCCTGGCAAGTGCAGGGGCCTGAGTTCAATCCCTGGTTCTGCAAAAAATAAAACAAAACATTTCGTTGTATTTCCTCCTGATAGTCTGATAGTTGTAGACTTTCAATATATATATATATATATATTTTTTTTTTAATGTAGTTTTTTTTTTTTCCCGATATCTGGGATTGAGCCTGTTCTACTGAACTATCTCCCTGGCCCTTTCAGTATATATGTTTATCATAACCACAACTTATTTTTGTATATGGAAAGAAATAGTGAAAAAAATCAGATTTTTTTAATATAACAAAAGACAGTTTATTTGGAGAAAAATATGGGGGAAAAAAGAGGATAGACACCTATCATGAGGTGATAGGGGGCTTCAGAGCTGAAAACACCAAAAAATAACTGCCTTAAAAGCAACCAGTGGGGCTGGAGAGATGGCTCAGTGGTCTAAAGCACCTACTTGAAACAAGCTTGGCAAAGCACAGGGACCGGGGTTTGATCCCCCAGCACCACATGCCAGCCAGCCCCGCCCCCTGGTGGGCTGAGCTGGCCACACACACACACACAATAAATAAATGTAATAAATAAAAATAAAAAATAAATAATTAAAAAAAAAAAAAAGCAACCAGTGTTATAGAGATCTGAGCCAGAAGTCAGAAAATCTGTGATCTATGGTTGCTCTATGCCACCTTTGCAATCTTGGACAAATTAGTTCACTCTTTGTAGTCCAAGAGTTAGATAAGAGGGGCTGGGGAGATGGCTCATTAGAATAAGTGCCTGCCTGGAAAGCACGAGGGCCTGAGTTCAATCAATGGCTTGAATTTGTGATTCTCCTGCTTCTACAGATGTGTACCAACGCACCTGGCTTCTAGTACTCTTGTGAGGATCAAATAAGGTAATAGATGAGAATAGCTTAAATAGAAAAAAAATCCTTCTCATATCTAAGTTACTATTAGTAAGAGATTCTTGGTTTGTGCAAATCAAATACAAGTGGAATGGAGCATTATTTCCAGCTTGCTTAAGTATTGTAGTTGATAGATTCAGCAAACGTGTTTAGATTACCTTTGTGCAAGAACCTGGGAGAAGTGACGCAAGCCTGTAAACCCAGAACTTGGGAGGATGGGACAGGAGGATCACAGCAAGTTTGGCAGGAGTATCATTACAAGTTTGAGACCAGCCTGAGCTATGTAGTGAGACCCTGTAGGGGGAAGGGGGAGACCCTGGGCGAGGGAAGAGGAGAGTGGAGAAGATGGAAACTAACATTTTGGGGGAGGCCTATTTCATATCTGGTGCCTTACTGAATGAAAGATACCCCCTTAGTCCTCATTACCCAGGATTGTACGGTTTAGAACTGGGCAAAACCTTCTGCTATAAAGAGGATTGGTGCCTTTACTAGCGTGGGGCTAAGAGTGTATAGATAGTCAGCAAGCACAGAGGCCAGTGTTGGATTTGTTGGTACTGTTTCTTTGATGCCAGAGATAGAGCCCAGGCCTCTTGCATACTAAGCACATGCTCTTCTCCTGAGACGCACCCTCATCAGATTCAGTGTTTTAAGTTTTCTTTTCTTTATGTGGAGGGTGAAGGTGAGACAGAGTCTCCATAGATAGCCCAGGCTGGCTTTGAGCTTATCATGTAGTCCATGCTGGCCCCTTAACTCACCGAGATCCTTCTGCCTCAGCCTCCTTAGTACTGGGATTATTGGCAGGCCAGTTTTGAACATTCTAATAGGCCTGATTGGAAGCGCTTTAGGGTAGGGGCTGGGCATTTAGCTTAATGGCACAGAACCTGTCTGGTAAATGTGAGGTCTTGAGTTTGATTCCTGGTACTCCCCCAAAAAAATACCAAAAAACGAAGCATCTGGGTGTTGATGGCACACAACACACCTGTAATTGCAGTACTCTGGAGCCGGATACAGATTGCTTTGGGTTCAAGGCCAGTCTGAACTACATGGTGAGACCTTGTCTCACCCTGCCTCAAAGAACAAAACAAAACAAAACACTTAAGAGGCAGTTACCCACATCCTTTTGCTCCAGGCAGGCTTCCCCTTCTGTGACCACCCCTACTCCATCACTTGGTCCACTAGTGGTATAGTGACTCCTGACCAATCTTCTACACATAGCCTCTCTTTGCCTTCAGGAGAGCCTGAGTCTTTTCTCCTGGAATAGGTGCACCAGTTGTGCCAGTCCCTGTGCCATGGCATTCAAGTCAGCATCTCCTTTCCCTGAAGATATCTAGAGCTCCAGGGTAGCAGCAGTACCTGGGGCAGTGCCAGGCAGGTGGCAGAAGTAGGCAGTCAGTGTTTGCTGAACAAGCTGAACTCTTTTTCCTCTAGGTGCCAGAGTGGATTATGCAATACAAATGAGCAGTGTCTGGCTCCCTTTGATACTGTTAGACCTTTGATGATGATCGGTAGAGAAGTTGGGAAACCAAATGTCATAGAAGAGACATTCCTCGAGTCTGGCAATGTGTATATTCTGGCATTCTTTTTTTTTATCTTTTATAAGAAAACTTTATTTTAATTTTTATTTGTTTTTTTTTATTTAACCAGTTTCAAAGCTGATTAATAGGACAGTTTCGATAATC